GGGTAGAGGACGACTTCCCCACACTGAGGGTCAAATGGACAGAGCCGTGTGCTGTAAAATGTTGGATGAGAAAAAAGAGAACAAAGGAGCAGTTAAAGAAGAAGAACATTAAGTTCATAGAGTAACCAAGCCAGTCGCCACATCTCAGTCCTACAGAAAATCTGTGGAGGAATCTCAACGTTCAAGTTGCCAAGCGTCAGCCACAAAACCAGAAGGACTTAGTTTCTGTAAAAAGACGAGTGGGCCAAAATACTGAGCTCTGTGCAAATCAGGAAATGACTTACTGCTGTGCTTACCAACAAGGGTTTCTCCACCAAGACCTACGTCATGTTTTACTTGGTTTTACTCAGTTGAATAAATAATTATTTCACTCAATCACATGCAGTTTATAACTTTTATGTTAAGTGGTTTTTTTGCCCAGTGTAAACAAACTGAAGTCATCTAGGCCTCCTCCGCCCCAGGGGCCTGGTTTTTGTGCTTGGTTGCGTCACGTTTGTGAAACACATTTGTTTTTTAAGAACACACCATGTCAGCACAAAGATAAAAAACAAGACGTTGGCTCCAGATCAGATAACATGACCGGTCTAACATGTCGACATTTGACTTAAGCAGCACAATCTTCTTAAAACAGCTGCAGTTTCATCAAGATTGGGGGCCATTGAAGGGCCATTCTTCCCTTCAATAATACAGTCGCTAATTCTTGTGCAATTAAAGACTTAAGTAGGCTTCAGCCAAACTTTCAGACTTACTGGGTCCTTTGTAAATGGTGCTTCATTTAAGTACAGAGGAAACCAAACTGTAACGCACAATAAATATTATAATTCTCTCCAACTGTTCTTATTAACAAGGCTGTTTTATGAATGGACAATTCATTGGCCATTAAGACTTGGAGCTATTTCTTTATATATGCTGCTCAAAAAATGAAGGAAACACTTAAATTAAACAGTGAAACATTCAAATTGAAAATCTTTACCAATACAGAGGTCATCATTGAGAACAAAATGATGTAACAACACTCAGCACTTCATGCTCAACTAAAATCACCGACCATCTGAGTGCTGGTTTTAAAAAAAAAAGTGCAATTTCCGAATCACTACAGGGAGTGCAGAATTATTAGGCAAGTTGTATTTTTGAGGAATAATTTTATTATTGAACAACAACCATGTTCTCAATGAACCCAAAAAACTCATTAATATCAAAGCTGAATGTTTTTGGAAGTAGTTTTTAGTTTGTTTTTAGTTTTACTTATTTTAGGGGGATATCTGTGTGTGCAGGTGACTATTACTGTGCATAATTATTAGGCAACTTAACAAAAACCAAATATATACCCATTTCAATTATTTATTTTTACCAGTGAAACCAATATAACATCTCCACATTCACAAATATACATTTCTGACATTCAAAAACAAAACAAAAACAAATCAGCGACCAATATAGCCACCTTCCTTTGCAAGGACACTCAAAAGCCTGCCATCCATGGATTCTGTCAGTGTTTTGATCTGTTCACCATCAACATTGCGTGCAGCAGCAACCACAGCCTCCCAGACACTGTTCAGAGAGGTGCACTGTTTTCCCTCCTTGTAAATCTCACATTTGATGATGGACCACAGGTTCTCAATGGGGTTCAGATCAGGTGAACAAGGAGGCCATGTCATTAGTTTTTCTTCTTTTATACCCTTTCTTGCCAGCCACGCTGTGGAGTACTTGGACGCGTGTGATGGAGCATTGTCCTGCATGAAAATCATGTTTTTCTTGAAGGATGCAGACTTCTTCCTGTACCACTGCTTGAAGAAGGTGTCTTCCAGAAACTGGCAGTAGGACTGGGAGTTGAGCTTGACTCCATCCTCAACCCGAAAAGGCCCCACAAGCTCATCTTTGATGATACCAGCCCAAACCAGTACTCCACCTCCACCTTGCTGGCGTCTGAGTCGGACTGGAGCTCTCTGCCCTTTACCAATCCAGCCACGGGCCCATCCATCTGGCCCATCAAGACTCTCTCTCATTCCATCAGTCCATAAAACCTTAGAAAAATCAGTCTTGAGATATTTCTTGGCCCAGTCTTGACGTTTCAGCTTGTGTGTCTTGTTCAGTGGTGGTCGTCTTTCAGCCTTTCTTACCTTGGCCATGTCTCTGAGTATTGCACACCTTGTGCTTTTGGGCACTCCAGTGATGTTGCAGCTCTGAAATATGGCCAAACTGGTGGCAAGTGGCATCTTGGCAGCTGCACGCTTGACTTTTCTCAGTTCATGGGCAGTTATTTTGCGCCTTGGTTTTTCCACACGCTTCTTGCGACCCTGTTGACTATTTGGAATGAAACGCTTGATTGTTCGATGATCACACTTCAGAAGCTTTGCAATTTTGAGACTGCTGCATCCCTCTGCAAGATATCTCACTATTTTTGACTTTTCTGAGCCCGTCAAGTTCTTCTTTTGACCCATTTTGCCAAAGGAAAGGGCGTTGCCTAATAATTATGCACACCTGATATAGGGTGTTGATGTCATTAGACCACACCCCTTCTCATTACAGAGATGCACATCACCTAATATGCTTAATTGGTAGTAGGCTTTCGAGCCTATACAGCTTGGAGTAAGACAACATGCATGAAGAGGATGATGTGGACAAAATACTCATTTGCCTAATAATTCTGCACTCCCTGTATTAAATTATTATTATTTTTGCCAAGAAAAAGAGGGAAAAGTGCAACGACTTATTTGAATGTACACAAATAAATGGAAATAAAGTACACAAAGCAAAAACACAGTTTGTACTGTTTTAGTCTAACGACTAAAACAGTCTGCTTTCAGAAACACAGACCCAAACCATGACAGCAGTGTGTTTACAGATGGCTGTAGACACTCACTGTTGTAGCTCTGTCCTAACCTCCTCTATACTTTCTGACAATGATTTGACCCAAAACAAAGTTCATTACTCTATAAAACTGGTTGCCACTGATTTTTAGGGGTTTTTTAGTGTGTAATTTGGCACATCTCAGCCTTTTCTCCCAGTTCCCCTTTCTTAAGAATGTCTTGTGACACTTTAGATCAGGGATGTCAAACTCTTGGAGCAGTGAAACTCACTGAAAGACGTTTAACTGCACTTTTCATCCCTAAGATGTCTTAGTTCTAGTATCAGTACATCTCAGTTTTTCTCCATAACAGCAAACGCTTACTCAAAAAAAAAAAAAGTGACACAAAAAGTCATTTTAAAAGTTGCAGTAGTTCTGTCCAGCGATTTTAAAACAGAGAGATTTTGTTAAACCACACAAGTTTTTCCAGTTTACTACTACTGTTGACTCTTCATAAAACAACAAAACAAAACAAAAAAAACAGGAAGGTTTCTGTCATGTAATTTATTACGTTGGTGTAATTTAAATAGTCACGGGGGAGATCTTTATCAGTGGGAAAAACTGTGAAACTTGTTAAAGTACAGTTAAAGTCCAAAAGCTATGTCCTCCTTCACATTTTTCAGTGACGTATAGTGGGCCCCACTGTAGTCTCTAGCGGGCCAATTATGGTCCCTGGGCCTTGTGTTTGACACCCCTCCCTTGGTCCCCCTGTTACAGCTGACTTACAAATTGATTAAGTGATGTTTTGTTTTTTCCTGTTTCTCCATTCAGTTTTTGTGTGTTCCTATAAACAAAATGTTAACGCCTTCATGCGCACTCAACTAACGCTCAATATCTCCCACGGCACCTGAAGGCAGCATCCCTTCCAAAGCTAGGATTTCAGTCTTGGCGCTTCCACGAGTCCGTCCTTAAAAATCCCCCTTTCTGCTGAAATGTGAACACACTGACGCATGTTTGCAGCACTGTGCATTCAGGACAGAGGGGGGGGGGGGGGGGGGGCATACTGATTAACACTGCAGAAGGTCGCATGACTGTAAAGAATATCAAGGGTCACAGTACCTCATAAAACCTTAGGGAACATAGTGATTTATATTCCTGCTACTGAGTCCCGATTAAGCTGATATAATTCGATAGATGGACCATTTCCACTCGCCATTTCTCCCCACTCTCGTCTGCCTCTGCGTGCAGTCACCCCCCCAAAAAAAGGGAATGTAGCAGAGCTTACTTAGTGGGCATGATGTAGATTTGGATTCACACTGGATTTAATATTCCAATAAATATTGCAAAGGGGTCCCATTGTAGTCATTCTAGCGGCTCTAAAGGGCTTCTATATTTGTGCTGCACGCTTATGCAGTATGTATGTAGTTATGCAACATGCATCCAAAAGTAACCTTGCGCATGAGGTCAGAGAAGAAAACTGGATGCCTCACGCCCCCTGCTGTTTGAAATGCTCCACACAGCCGCATGTGCGTGTCAGAACCACGCTTGTCACAAAAATACCACCACACACTGTTTTAAGAAGCAACAAACTGGTTTTATGAACATGAATACTTGTAGTTACAAATACGCTCTTACATGAATCTCTTCTTTTATTTTTGGCAAAATAAGAGAATTAAACTTCATGTCAACCAAAGGGGAAAAAAAGCAGAATAAAGGTTTTGGTCCGGTACATGAAGCGATGAAGATCTTTATACACATTTAAGTTACTCTGACGTTGCTTTTACATTCAGTAGCTCCTTTTTAGCCCTCTAAGCGCATGCAGCCTGAGAGTGGAAAACGTAGCTCATCCTTTGCAAGGAAACCTGACAACAACAAAAACAAAACAAAAAAGAAAAGAAAGAAAAAACAGCAACAATGACGAATGCAAACACGCACCCGCGCTCACACCCCACAGAGACAAGCCCGTCTTATCTTCGGACACCGATTCACATGCATCAGGAGGCTGTTAAGGCTGTTAAAACCATCTGTGGATGCTCGTGATGCAGGGTCAGAGTCTCAGCTGGCTTCTCCGAGACTCAAAAGTTTTAAAGCCGGAGACAGCGCTGACGTACTTACTCACGGGCCGAGGGAATTTTTTTTATATCTCTCATTCCTTTTTTTTTTTACACTTCTAAGCAGGAGATGAAAGCAAATAGCAGCAGCAACACATGTGTGTGTGTAATATAGGTGAGTGCATCTCAGCAAAAAAGAAAAGTCGTAGAGGCGTCGTGACTCCCACAGAGCCCTGAGGTGGCGTCTACTGGCACACAAACACCTTTTGACGTACGTCACGTGGCACAAACACAGCAGGCCGACACTCTTGCACATACAGACAGGGATTTTGTGAACTGCATTCGCGCATTTTTGTTTGTTTTTCTGTTTTTCCTCTCCACAAACACGTAAACAAAGACAGATAGGGGAGGGAGGGCGGCGTGGATGCGCGACCCTCCCCTGAGGGGGGTGGGTGGGGGGTGAAAATACTCCAGAGGCATTGAAATGGCAGCAGCTCCTCCTTCAGTTCCCAGAGAGAGAGGGAAGGGGTGGGGAAACGGGGGGTCAGATGAAAGGATTTTTTGACGTCCCCCGACTGGGGTAAACATTCCCCTGCAAAGACAAGAGAGGCAGGGTGAGAACAGCAGCCCGGCTTACTTAGTATGCCATCGCAATTCACTGAAAACTGGCGAGAACTACCAATTAGCGCCCCCAGAGTGCACTTCGTGGAGGGATACTCACCGTGAAAGGGTTCACCGACATGGGCCGAGGGACTTTGGACTGAAAGTCAGACGTGGGGAAGGAGGCAAAACCTGCAAAACACACACACACACAGATATACATGATACAGGAAAATGGTGTGGCATGAAACCAGAAACCTGCAGCTCTAAACTGGGTGGGTCATTTTGGTATTCCTGGACTGCTGCTAGTGGACGCCACAGCGCGTCTCAGGAAAGACGAGCAGTCCCCGCTGCAGTGGGAGCTTTCCATTTGGGCCTCGTTTTAATAACCAACATATGGATCAAAGTATGGTTCCCCCCCCCAATTTTCACTTGAAGCCTTATATAGCACCAAATCACAACAACAATGCTTTATATTGTAAGGTCCTATATATAATAAGGACAGGTGTCAAACATCAAGCTGTAATTCGTAGATTTTGGCATGGCCGCATCTGTGATCTGCACTGGTGTAAAGAGAAGCTTGTGCATGCATTTACTATGTTTTCAGCAGGTATGGTGATGTGTGAATGCACACACAGGCAGAGATATGGAAACAGAGTCATGTCTCTTCTAAACTCAATCTAAAAGTCCAGTTAAGTTTCATTTTTATGTGCTGTACGGTAAAGGTAGACACCACCATCCAAAATCTACAAAACTGTGAGATCGTCATGTTCAGGCCTGTGACGCAGGCCCACAGACACATGTGGAAGAACGACAACATGGCTCGCTTTTACATCAGGACATGGTTCGTTGAATCTCTCGCGCTATCAGGAGATATCATGATCAAGCTGCTGTGAGTTGGCTGCGTGATACAACTGTGATCAGAAGGCATTATAACCTTCTTTTCTTTTTGAGGGCTGGTTGCACGTGAGGAGGAGATGTCTTAAAATAAATCACATCAATAATTGTAAATGTCTGGGTCTCTTTTCTCAGTGTGGCCCTTAACTTGATGCTCGCGCTTCAGGAGGTAATAAAGTAATATGGTTTGTATTCACATAAAAACCAACTACCACAGCACCTTATCTTCTTCTACCTCCCATCTCTGTCGTCCCTTGTTAAGCCCACCACCTGCTCATCCTCATCCATGTCATCTCCCAGTACACCCAGCGTCTCTTCGTTTCCTACCCAGCACGACTCTGAGCATCTGTAGCTCAGTTAACTGGGCAGACGAAGTGCTTAAATGGGCAGGGTGGCACCAGGAAGACCACCAAGGGTAAACCGAATATTAGAAGTCATAGATCAGGTGAAGGAGGAACTACAGGACGTCTCTGTGTGGTCTCTGCACTGTGGTCGACCTCACAACTATTACAGCTACTTAGAGTCTAACTGACTTTATAAAGAGGAAAGAGATTGTTTGGCATTTTGACATGACTTTTGATTAAGATAAGATAAGATAAGATTAAAAGTGTGATTTAAAAATTTTTTAATTATCAATCTCTGATGACTCAATGTGATTTGATGAGTATAAAAAAAAAACTTTTTAAAACTTTTTACATTTTTTGGGGCCCAGGGGGACTAGTATGCAGTGCAGTAATGAAGTTAGGTCTTCCTAATTTGGAAAAAACATTTTATTTTCTACAACTTTAATGTCTCACCTTTTCATTTACACAACTGATGCATAAAAATAAGATATTTTGTTAAATGTCCTTTTAAATTATTAGAAGATATTAGTTTTTAGCAATATAAAACAGATAAGTAGCGAATCCTTAATAGAGCAACAAAATCCAACAAATACATGTTTTTGTTTTGTTTTTACTAAATAATGACCAGACTTTTCATTTTTGGTCTATTTTGAGTTATTAAAAGAAGATTATGTAAATAAAAATATTAATAATAATTAAAAACTTGACTTATAATCCAAGAAAACAAACAAACAAACAAAAAAAAAAACATCAAACAGGAGGACAAATAAGAGGCAACGAATCTCACCATTTGCTTCCTGATTGGTGGCTGACTCATGAGGAAATGCATTCTGGGTAGCAGCCGCTGGGAAAGCACCGGACGGAGGAAAAACGGAGGTGGGCGAGGTGACAAACGCACTGGAGTCACCTGGAGAAGCGAAACACCCACACATGCGGCGAAATTAGACACAGATCATTAATCCATGCAGAACACATCTGTCAGCTGCTCTCAGCTGACAGTAAAAGACTGTTTCCCCGTGTCTGTACCTTACACAGAGAGCCTACAGGAAACATAAAGCAGTAATGAGCCCTGCGACCAGTCAAGAGTATAACTGCATACATGAATACATGATACTGTTGAATAATTGAGGTGGAGCCGATGGAAAGCCCAGAGCTGCGAGGGTCTAAAGCTGAAAGGAAACAAACGCCAGGTTGTTTATTTGCATCATGAAACATCACAGCATCGCTGAGCATTCGTTTATCCACGTTGTGGTTAATGCACCAGAGAAGCTTAACTGAGATTTCAGCTCCACGCTGAGCCTTTCCTCTTACATATCTGCCTTTGGTGGGTGAAGTCAGTGACCCGAGTAAAAAGTAACGTTGCTAGCATGAAGCCTCAGTGGCTGTGAAAGCAGGTAGCTGTGTGCGAGCTTGTGTAATCAACCGTTTAGTGTGTACACAACATACACTTCAGTGTAGCAGCTCTACGCGTCGTTTTCACTGCCCTACAGGAAAAGAAATAAAGGCCCAGCTCACGCAGCTGATCTGGAGACTAAATGTTACCCGTTAATGGGCCGAGCAGAGGGAAAACACAGGAGCGTTTTTAACTTTTAAATAAGCACAAAAGGTACATTCAGACTCTGTAAGCAGGAACTAAATGCTTGAAATATGTAACCTATACACAGAGCAGAGGGATCAGTGTTTTATAACGGGCTGTGATTTCCTGTTTTTAAGTTTAGGCATTCACATGTCATTTAAGTCATGTAGAGTCAAGCTAAAAGACAAAAGTTTGAACACAAGTGTAGGTGCGCTGCCTCCTGACAAATCCATAGGACAGCCTGAGAGAGGAAATAAATATATCAGGAAAAATGTGATCGAGGAGAATATCTACAGTTCAAGATGAACACGTCTGCATGCCTAATTTGGCACGGTTGTTGACAGCAGACTGGTTGGCCTGAGTATTTCAGAAACTGCTGATCTACTGCGATCTTCACACACAACCATCTGTAGGGTTTACAGAGAATAGTCTGAAAAAGAGGAAATATCCAGTGAGCAGCCGTTCTCAGACTGCTACGAGCTAATAGGAAGGCAACAATAAGTCAAATTACCCAGTCGTTAAAAGGGAGGTATGCAGAAGAGCATCCACTCCAAACTTGAAGCAGATGAGCTACAGCTGCAGAAGACAACACCGCATGTCACTGCTATCGCAACAGAAGACACAATTCCCGTGGGCTCATTAAAATTAGATAACAGAAGATGAGAAAAAATGTTGCCTGGTCTGATGAGTATTGATAACCGCTGCAGATGGCAGAGATGGAGTCAGAATTTGGTATAAATAACATGAAAGCATGAATCAAGCATGCCTTGTATCAATGGCTCAGGCTACTGGTGGTGTAATGGTGTGCGGGATGTTTTCTTGGCACACTTTTAGTGTTTTAGTACCAACTGAGCATCATTTAAATACCACAGCCAGCCTGATTGTTGTTGCTGACCATGTCCATCCCTTTATGACCACAGTGTACACATCTTCATATAACACATCATGTCACAAAGCTCAAACATTGGTTTCTTAAACATAGCGATGAGTTCACCGCACTCCAATGGCCTCCACATTCAACAGGTGGAACAAGAGATTCACATCATGGATGTGCTGTGCGATGTCATCGAAGAACAAAGAACTAAAGTGGCTCTGAAGGTAAAAAGGGTTTCAACCCTACATATATTTTTTCATGTGGTAATTATTTCTTTGCCTCCACCACAGCGGTGGTTATCTAACCAGCTCAAGCTGCTCTAACATCTTAAAAAGTTGCAGCAGGAAGTTTCAGAAAGAGTGAGCATGGGGCTTACCTCCTGAGGCGTTACTGAAGGGGTTACTGGGGGAGAGGGCGACGGGCTGCTGGGAAGCGGAGCTGGAGCTGGAGCTGGAGCTGAATGGGTTGGGGAAATCTGAGACACACGGGTTGGGGGGAGAGAGACAGGGAGATAATTCAGTGTTCTGCCCGGGGGTTAACGGGTTACATTCCTGCCTATTCAAGGCAACACTGCTCTGATTTTCACAGTCTAATCTGGAGTGCTGGACTGTTTTTGAAGAGGAGGGAACTGAATGTAAATAGTGCAGGTTAACAGCAGCAATCGATGCAGTTCGCACTCGGCACCTACTTGCAAAACTTTGGGAGCTGGAGACGGTATCGACACCAGGGGAGCTGGGGAGAAGTAGAAGAAAAGAGGGGGGGGGAAGGAGGATCGATCAGAATTTGACCTTTAAACAGCTCCACAAGAAGAAAAGTTAAAAATCTGCCATGTTTAACAAAAGCTGATTTGACAAGGCTGCGTTTTTTCCTCTACCTGGCAGGAGTTGAGCTGGATGAGAGCCTGCTGCCGAAGATGGCGCTGTACTGCGGTGGGCCGCCAGGTGGAGCTGCAAACAAGCATTTCCACAGGCATCACAACACAACCAAACACAACGTCAGGCCCAACATGAGCCCCGGTTTACGAGCTCGAGCAGTGCTATGATCTTGATATGTGAGCAAAAACCTTTAAAACAGTCCAAACTGCTGATCCCGTGCATGCAAGTCATCACAGAACAAAAGAATTACAAACGCCCTGAATAAAATATCATCTTCATGTTCAGCTTGATATGAATCAAAAGTGAGCCGAGGCAGAAAATCAATAACCTCCCTACTCTGCCAAGCAGGGGAGGCAGCGATGACGCTGGAAAGCAGCAGAGCTTAGCAGGCCTCTCACACGAATGCTGTGCATTAAAGCAGCCGGCTTAGTTATAACGCAAACACAGCTGATTCCAAAACCTATCAACAAGGTCCTTTGAATCACGCTGTGCACGATCTGGAGCAAACACAATGAGCATAATTCAGCTGCTAAAAGCCTTGGCATTTGGAGTAAGGATGTTATGCAACCAAGCTGAGCTGACCGCGACAATCTGCACACGCGAAGCCCTCAAATCAAACTATCTGTTACACAGTGCTGGAAGATGTGCTCAGGTCTTTATTGAAGCCAGAGTGCTACTGAAACAATGGGGAAAAAGTAATCAGGTCAAGCTGAAGCAAGGTTTAATTATTCTCTGTTCAGGCAGGGAGTTTAGTCCCTCCTCCTGATTAGTCAGAGAGGTTGTGAGAGGATTAATGAGACTGGAAAAAAAGAAAGTTCTTCAGTTTATAAAATTGGATTCGTTTTCTTGAGTTAATTTTTTTTTTAATCTGTGTTTGACAGCACAGTGAAGATTTTTGAGTGGGGGGCCTGGAGGACCAGCACTTTTTGGTAAAACTCAATCCACAATCAAGTGGAGAGACCGAGTCGAAAATACGAAGCCGATGGTGCAGTTCCTCTAATGGCCACTCGAGGCTCCAAACCCGATTCAATCCATTAAAATCCCCAACTTTGGTACAGAAACCTTTTCAGTTTCTACGGCCAATCCCCCCCCCCCCACCCCACACACACACACTATTACACATGGTGGGAATTTTTGTTTTATCATACCCTGCCCACAAACAAATTAAGGTTACTCGTCATCAAGGGGTGAGGTCACTTTGAGTAAAACCTGGACGTAGGCTAGCCAACTACCTGTCTGCCAGTCTTTAGCTAATTATAGTCACAGTAACTCTCAAACATCTTTGTGGTTTTGGTCCCTTTAGAGCATTTATGATGCAAATACACCTTCCTGTGTAGTCAACTGCACTCACATCCCTTACAGGAAGTGTGTGCAACAGTTTCGGTGAGTCATATTCTAATATTTATTACTTGGTGTCACTTAAGACTAATTTGCACATCCTGTCTCCGTGTGTGAAACGCTTGCTAGTCTCATGTTAGAACTTAACACTCCAGCTTCCTGTCTCTGTATGGTCACCTGTGGTTGCAATAAAACAAGGCAAAGCTAAAGTTAAGATTTAAAAAAGAAAAAAAGAAAAAACAAGAACAGCTATCGTCGTCTTTTATATACAGTCTATGTGCACACCTTACACAAATACAAAAAGCTGTGAAATAAATGCAACTGTGCAAAAGCCTCTGAACTACACTGATACAAAAAGTATTAAAGCTTCGACTGATAAAAACATCGTACCTGTGACCGATGTTGTTTCAGAGAAGACGCTGTCCAGCTGTGACACGGCAGCGTACCTATCCTGGGCACTGCCGCTGCTGACCGGCGGTGTCGTCTGACCTATGCCAACAGGCTGCTGTTGCTGAGGCTGCTGCTGCGGCTGGGACAGAGACTGAGGCAGAGGCTGTGGTTGGGGATGGTTCAGACCTCCAAAGTCCACGCTCAGAGACTTGGGGAAGGCCCTGAAGGGGCCCGTAGCCCCCGAGGCCGACACTGTCCGACCTGAAAGAGAGATCGCAGATTAGTATGTACTAACAGGTAGATGTTTAAAATGTGATTGTTCGAACCTGAAGCATCAAATTCAAATAACATACAATAATTCGCAAGTAACTCTGACATAACACAGCCCATTCACTACATATAGAAGAAAATTATCTCACGCCATGTAAAGATCCTCATGCTATGAGGTGTAGAAATAGCAGCATTAGCTTAGACTGTACTAAATAAAGCACACACACTCATCGTGTTTAGGGATTAAAAAAAAAAAAAACACCACAGGAAAGCAGCAAGCCAGAAACTTCTTAGATGCAATTGTTAGAAGTTAACAAAGACAGGAAATGACGTTTAACATCAGTGTTTGTAGCAAAATATCAGAGTCTGGATCAGCCAGTTAGCTATGAGCATGGGATCAGAAGTTAAAATCCAACATGGTCTCCATGAAGACACAAACACCAGAGCAGAATGGACCTGATGCAGCTTATCTGCTGGTATCTGCATGTTTTTCCGTCTTTGAGAGCATACCTGAACTCCCTAGCATATTGTTGTGGGTGTTAAATGTGTATGGCGCGATTACAGCTGTGCCCTACATAGTTCTGAAGTGCTTCAACGCCAACGTGGTGCGAAATATCAGCGGCCCTCTGCTGACGGGGGCAGCAGCAGCAGCTCCGGCCTAAAAATAGCCCCACTTTAAACTTGTTCTTTTTCCTCTGAGGGAGGGAACAGTGTGTGTGTGTGTGTGTGTGTGTGTGTGTGTGTGTGTGTGTGTGTGTGTGTGTGTGTGTGTGTGTGTGTGTGTGTGTCCTTGACACTCCTAGGCTTCAGATCTGGGCTTTGAAGTGGGAAACCTGAGTGATGAAGAAAAACATTGACCCCAATTGCAGTATGTGACACTGGCCAGCCACGACTCGCTGGCTAAATGAATACAGAGTGCTGCGTCGCCTCTCCCCTCAGGCCGCTCTGAAACAAACCCCAACTCACATGCATGTGATGCTCGCTAAGCACCGCCGCGCCCCGCAGATTGGCCATCTATTATGAATGATACAGCATTGGAAGAGCTTATTGATTTCAGCATTCACACGAGCGCACACGCACACACTCAAAAGCATCGGCCGGAGATGCATCTTACCTAAAGTGAAGTGGTTTTTGAACGAGCTACTGGCTACGTGGTTGGAGAAGAGAGGGAGAAGACAGAGGAGAAAAGAGGAGGGGAGATAAGGAGAAACAAGTGAGTGCCACTGGCGTCGCATGAATCTGCCACTCGCCGGCTCTGATGAGCGGAGAGCGACATCAGTGAGAATCAGCGAAAATATTCAATGATCTTTACACCGTGAACGATGCACTGCCAAATGTTCTTGCTAGAGGCATCAGGAATAGAACAGAGAAAGCACAGTGTCTATTTTTTAACCAGGAATCTTTCCTAAGATCACATAAGAGGAGGAACTAGCTTCCCAAATACAACAAACACTGTGGCACTTTACTACACAGCTGGTAGGAGACACATTAGTAGTAAACTTGTGAAAGCCTTCATAAGTTTACTACTAACAGTGGCACAAAGCATCCAGTGGGCGGAGGGCACACCTGAAGGCCGTGGAAGGGCGGGGAATGAGGGACCGTGGTTCTGACCTCCCAGTGTTGACGACAAAGAGCCTGGTCGCTGTCTTTCTATCCCACACAGGGTGGGATCTTCGTAGGAAAGAAACAAAAGATGCATTAAAAACAATTTTAAAAGAAGAGATAAGCACATGACGATGCCACAAACAAATCTTCCTCTCACCTTTCAGAGGGGGGTCTCTAAAGCTTTGGGAGCGCGACGGCCGAGCCGTGAACGCGTCTGTCCGCATGTCGGCGGGAGAGATGGCGGGGGCTCGATCCCAAGACGGCAGCTGGGACTGAGACTGGAGGATGAGAGATCGAAGGAGACAGAAGAGAAGCAGATGGAGGGTAGAAAGAGAGACACAAAGCCAGAGGAAGTGAGTCTCTTTCATCCTTTCTCAATAATTCATAAGCAGAGGCTTTGAAGTCGAGGCTACCTGGCCCTCCGACTGTCCGAACCATCAGTCTTTGTCTCTGTGCCGCGGCGAATTCAGGTCATTTCTTCACTTTCTATCCTTTTTTCGATACCCTTTGAAAATCTCCTCTACTTTCCCTTCCTCTTTTTATTTATTTATTTAAAACCACACACGTATACCACCCTCGTCTTCTCACTTTCACTCCCCTCACTTTACCTCCACCCGTTTCACAGACAACTACCACACCTTTAGCCTCTTACCAGTGGTCTCGTGGCTCTGGCATTTGGAGGCATGTTATGGGATAGACCCTGGCTCGCTAAGGGACCATGAGAAGGGGGCATAGCCTGAACCCCTGGACTCCAAGGACCCTCCATATCTCTCCGGTTCTTACTTTTGGAAAAATGCCTGCGAAACACAAATGATGCAGTGTAACTAACCAGTCTCATTAGCAACACAATTAAAGCTTGACATCTGGTCATTCATTTGCTAAACAAGAAGATTGAGAGCATTCTCTAAGCTTGAAAATAAGCAGCTATTAGCCTTCAGCTAATTTTTCTGAGCAAATATCTCTTATTCAAACATGGAAAGCCTAACTTTAACACAACCCTAATTAGCTATTGTTTTCATTTTACTTTGTGTTCCCTTTTAACCTCTCAAAATGACTCTTTTTACAGTTACACTTTTAAATATGTTTATTGCACAAGCAGAACAGCCAAATGCTAGCAGCTCTGTAACACAATAAAAACTGAGCTAAATGCTAACGTCAGCATGCTATCATGCTCAAAATAATCATTCTAATTAATTTTCTTTTTATAGCCATTTGCATTTGTACATATGTACAATACTGAAAGGGTTTTTATTTTTACTCATATTACCCTTTAACAGCAGGAAGTACAGCACTCTGCTAATTAGCAAGTTTGCTACTTTAGTTTGAAATATTAGCATGCTAACATTTGCTGTTTTTAAGCTGCTCTGTTTTAAACAGACTAACATATTTACTCAATAATGGTGCTAATTAAAAAATATTGTAAATAATAAACATTCTTACTGTAAAAGGTTTTATTTTGTTATTTTAAAGGCTTTTAACTATTAACATGCAAACTTGAACATTTGCTGGGCTTTTTTAAACCGAATTTTCTACATAAAAATTGATTTAAAATAAATAAATGAACTGAATAAAAATTAAGATGCTTTTCTCTGCTTCCATCAGTATATATTATAATTTGGTTATATGCAGGCGGAGGCCAAGCTCTCACCATTTTTTCTTCTCATATTTATCTTGAAGGAACTCTTTGAACTTCTGTGAGTCCTTCATGTCGGAGCAGCCGTCATTCTTTGGGTCAAACACGCACAGCCACGTCCTTCTGCCCACCTGAAGACACACATTTCCAAGAAGTCACATTAAAACCACGCTGCTTGGGACTGATCCATCAAAAACAAAAAGAGGGTTAGTGAGTTTCCGATTCCCTGAGTAGAAAATGAGAGCAATCCCTGGTTTTTGTTTGACATTTAATCTCAGAGAGTCTCTCAGATATACACACAGATTTTCTCATCAGTGACTCATCTCCGGTGCAAGAGTGCAGCAAATATTACTGGCAGCGAATCATGACTGACCGGATCACTCTTCAGAGGATGATGAGAAAGGAAAAGCTGGACGATGCACACCTATGCTTCTCTGCACATTACACTTGACTCACAGACCCCGGCCAACAACAAGCTAATAAAAACTGATAAGCACTTGTGCTGATAGCCTCAAACTCTTTACCACTTACTAGTATATGCTCAGCAGAGAGAGCTGCCTGAACCAGTGGCTCCTGAAGTGGATGCTGTGAGGGGGGGGGGGGGGCTTATGCAATCCAATCACATTTCAGCACCAAAATGAGGTTTAATTAACTTGGTAATTAAGTTTTCAAACTACAGAAATAAACAATAATTACCATAATAATCTAAGTTGAAGTAATTGTAGCTCAACCAGCTGGACTGATTGGTATTATATTAATATGGAAGTTGGAAAATATATCAAAACTTCATTTTGATGACGTGAGGGTTTTATTTCTTTTTATATCGAATTTCTAGGTTTTTCTGGACCAAGACGAACCGATTTGAAGCCTTCATTTAAACTCTAGAAGATAATGTCAGGCTTTGTTAAATAATAAGTAATAAGAGATATCACTCAGTACTGACAAAAATAGCTAAGCTGCATAAAATGAATCCTAAAATAGCCTGCTGATCTGCACCACTGGTCAATTTTCCAGGCTTCTACAAAGAAAACAGAGCGATATCATTAATACTTCCAGTATTTCAATAAAATGCACTGCTGCTAATGATGCGCTATTCCCAGAATTGTTACACGAGAGTAGAAACATTTAAAAATTTAAAAGGATTTCAAGAGCTGGACAAGGTATTTGTCCAGCTCTTGAATCACAAAGTTAAAATCATAAAGTTATTAAAAAAAAAAAAAAAAGAATGTTTAGTTCCAACACACTCAGGTCAGATAAAGGGGGAAGTGCTTTTTATATGTTATTATAAAAAGGCTGTACAGGTACGGCCCACTTTTGGATCTAACTGTAGCCCAAACACTCAAATAAGTTCAACACTCTTGGCATAAACAAACACTGAGTAAACGGCAAGTTCACCTCTGTACCATCCTCTGCCTCAGCTCCAACTGTTATCAGTTACAATCCTGCAAACGGCCGCTTTTTAACGTAGCTGCGGGTCCCGACGGACGTGCAGAAAACAGCATTTTCTTATGACGCACCACGGATATGAAGCACTTTCCAGAAACATATAATTTCAAGTATTCTCATATTAATTGTTTAGTTTATTTAAAAAAAAAAAAACATCACACAGAACGTTTGGTAAGAGACACGGTTGTTTTTCTTTGCATTTACATAAATATTTGGATGTTTTATTTGGCTGGGTCTCTGTTGTGAGAGGGTTCTGATGTCACCAAACCCTGCTAGTTAAATAAAGGTAAATAAAGGAAGAGATTTTGATAGGGTGCTTTTGTTTGACTTTTGGTTAAAATGGGGTCTGTTCAGAGTTTAAACCCTGGTTTTAAAAAAAACACACACACACAGAAAGGAAATAGATCGTGGTTTTGTGGGACATAAAGTGCCCCATCCTTTTGTTTCTTGGCACAGTATGAGGTTGGCACTAGTATTCTCCCCCCTCCTCCTCGTCCAAAAAAAAAAAAAAAAAAAAGGCACTGCCACAAAGACTGGTTGGACTGGTAGTCTCAAGGGGCGTTTCACATTCCATATCAGAACCACAAACAGACAGTTTTAACCTTGAATTTGGACCAAAGAAGAGGAAAAAAAAGGAAATGGTAGCTGATGTCCTCGGACGACTCCGCAGTGTCAACAACAGGAAGAAATCACATTCAGCTGCACGTCTTTCTTTTTTTTTTCCTCGAAGTTTTCTAAAGTGAAGCAAACACGATGCATCGGGCCCCCAGCTGGGACTTCACTCACCTCATTGCCATGGTTTTGGAGGAATTCTACTTCCTGTTGGGAGAAAGTTGTCATGGAGATGGACTTGACTCTGTGGGGAGGGTTGAGGCCTCTCCTGGGACACAGAGGAGAGATGGATGAGTCAAATAAAGGAGAGAAATGGGAAGATTTGCAGTCAGCCCTCACCTCTAAAGACAGCACAAAGGGGATGGAGCAGGTGGGAAAGGAAATATATCTGACACGTGACCGTGAATCAAAGGACAGATTTGTTGTGGAGAAGACAACATACACACACACACACACATACACGCACACAATCGTGACAGAGAGAGACACATGTCTTCCAGAAGCTCCTATTTTCTTCATGCTGGGGACATAAAGTGGGACACTGTTGTACATGTGCAAGATTGCGCAATGACGCACACTGAGTGCCGAAACCGTCTTCCTGAAGAGGAGTGCCCGGGACTAGGCTGAACATGCAAAACAAAGTGTGACAGCACACAGGCGCACACACACTCTCTCTCTCACTCACTCACACACGCCCACATTGAAAAGGAGCCTAGAGAAAGAGAGAGAGAAGAGAGAGAGAGGTGGTGTCAAACCTGCACCATGACGAAATGAAACGTAACTCAGAGCTGGAAAATGACCAGCTAGCGGTCTGTCGGTTATCAAGCTGTTGGGAGACACGCACGAGAGAAAGAGAGGGAGAGAGACAGAGAGAGGTAGACACTGCGTAAATGAATGTGTGCACACATCCTCGGCTGTTGCATAGCACCAACAACCCCTGTTAACGTCAGGAGAGGGGAACCAAATGATACACATTTGTCCGTGGCTGGGTGGTGCACGGCGTAATCTAAGGCCTGGTACTTTTACTCTATCAGTATCTGGCTGCCCCTCACACTGATGCTAAATGTGCAGTAAATAAACCCGCCACACACCCCTCCCCACCCCCGGATGGGGCGGCGGGGTTTGCACTCACAGCATTCCGGAGCACGACGTGCAGACGAAGCTGCCCACGGTGATGTCGGTGTAAGTCACCCCGGGCTGGTTGCACTCGAAGCAGTGTTTGTTTACTCCAGACTGGGCCAGCTCCCGGACCTTGCGGGCGCAGATCTCTTGGTTGTCCCGGTGCTTACGGTTCGACATTTTTTTTTTAATTATTCTGGTCGCCGCCTGTCACGCAGGCTTCCCCCCCTCCCCGGTTAACACTCCGCGGTCCTCCTCCCGGATCCCCTCCGTTTACTCCAAGGAGCACCTCACGCCCGCATTATGGAAACGCTTTTATGCGGCTTCACCCCAAACGCAAGGCTGCACGGACTAAAGGCGCGTCAAGCCCTGAGCGACCCACCTGCAGCATAGCGGAAGCAGCTCGGGTTACCTTTCAAAATAAAAGCGATTGACAAGGAACTCTCGAGAGCGACTGTGACATTTTTACTTTTTGGTTGCCTGTTTCTTTAAAAAAAATCGTTCCAGCATAACCACTTGGTTATCTCATCAACTGTTTTGTAGGTCAAGGTATTTTCCAGTTATTCTGTGGGTCACAGTGAATCAGCTGTATTACTCTTAGTCTGCCATAAAGACGCTGAGAAATAAAAATCATTAAAATGTCATAAGGATCGTGTGATATATTCAAAGTTTCCTTTCAAGCCTGATCTTACTTTTAAAGGTAACACCTGTTTATTGGTTTGGAAAATAGCAGCTGGGTCATTCCTTATGAAATCAGTCAAATATGAAAAAAGTGACTCAGAGCAGATCTTTCATATGCTATAAATGGTTTTACACACATGGTAATGTTTTCCTGAGAACCGGGGGGGGAAAGTATGTTTCAGTTTATCTTATTTTGTCCGCTACAGAGAACCTAATGAATAGGCTCGATCTCAGGAGGATATGACCTACTTTCTATGGTTTCTCCAGCGAATCAACAGAAAATAAAACATCCAGCATATCAATCATGGCTTCTGTTAGTGTACAGGGATTAAATTGGTACAGATTTACTATTGAGACTATGATATATCCCATATCATACTAATTCTGTCTCACTTGGAGATGGGTTAAAGTAGATTTGCAGTTTTTAACAGAGCTTAAAAGTGCCAAATGTTGACCCACCCCATGTATGAAGACCTGTAATTAGAGAACATTACAGAAAATCATGTGATGCATCAATATGATCATCTGTATTTACACCTTGGCAATGAACTATCCACATTGGCCTAAATGCTTTGTGTAGCTATGAGAAGGGCCTGGCAAAAAAATAGATAATTAAACATTACTACAATTTCTACAACTTGGTGGCGACTGCAGTTTTGCCTTTTATTTAAGTTGGTTATATCTTATTTGTGTTTTATCAACTAATATACACATACATTTTTACTTTATTATAAATAGCCACTATAGAATAAAGCCCTCCAACAAAGAGTGTGCTCCTAGCACGCTTTCTTTTCAGGAGTCTCGTTTCGTGCTTTACTTTGAAAATCCTGCCGGATGTGACCCTGTTTATTCTGACTGGTTTGGCTCTTGGAGAGATGCTGAGGGGATCTCCTGTCAAAGACAAACAAGAACCTGTCGAGTCGCCAAGTTTACTTCGCACAAAACGGTTTTATTTCTCCTTCCGAAGCGACCGTCTGTCGCTACGTGCCGTCTGTGCCGCGCTATCAGTGTGCGCTATTTACGCACACGCCCCCCTTTACTGGCGCAGGACTTGCACTTTGCTTCTGCTGCCCGCTCTGGAAGGGGGGCAGGATGTTTTTAAGGGCTTAGATACGTTAAGTTGAGAAGCTAAAATTACTATTTAATCCTTTATAGTTGTCAGCTGTGTAAAACACATGCGGTTTTCTGTCCCCGTCTTTATACGTTTCACACACACACACACACACACACACACACACACATATATATATATATATATATATATATATATATATATATATATATATATATCTTTGGCATGGGAATTTTGGTGAAGGCCCTACTTTGAAACGTTAAGGCTGGTACACTTCTGAAATCACTTCACTGTTTATTTTGATGAAGCAACTTGGCAACAGCATACCTAACTACGCCCTTTCCGTGTCGCCTGAGAAAATACATGTGAGAATCACATCATTTCCCACTGAAACAGGAACAGTCTGGACACCGAAGGCGTCACTCTGCTGTGATCTTCCGACACCCAGATTTTTAGGGAATAAGGGGAAAAGAACAGTGACGTGAAAGCAAAGGAAGAAAGAAAAACATCAGTACAGTTATGTTGTTGTCTGATGAGATAGGCGAGCCTGCAATGATTGTTTCTGATCAGCAGGGGGAGCCACACACAGGATCGGATAGATAAATAGAGTATTTTTGTGCATTTCGACACGGTGGTATGATGGAGGTAGACAGAAGAGTCCTCTGAGCCACTGTAATTACACCTCCACGCAAAGTAGTCCCACACAAGTTTGTGGGAATGATAACGAAGCCAAGATTGGTTATTTAATGTTGGCCAATAGTTTGTTGTGCTGGTTTGTGACATGTATGGAAGCCCAACTCTGCCGGGACAAAAATGTAAAAAGTTATACTTTTTATGTTTTTGCATTGTAACTTGAACGTGTTAGATAATAAGCGATGATGATTTACTCTTTATTTTCTACTATCATTCTAACATAGAACGCCTCAGTCAGCTGTACAGTACTTACTCGTGTTTTTTTGAGTTAGCCATTCTTTTGAAGTACTATCGAGGTCTTTAGTGAGTAGGTTGCATGTTTGTTTGTTTTTTATTTAAGCAGGGATTGTACAAGTCCGATAACGTCCACTTGGGTACCAGTGAGGTAAAGCTCATCATCAGATGGTCCTGTGTACATCCACATACCTGCCTGATTTTTGGGATTGTGCAGACTTATCCAAGGAGAATTTACATGACAAAGTAGCAACTGTCCCTGCAACCAGGCGGCAGACTTCATAAAGTATAACAGGAACAGTCATTAGTTGTCTAACTGTCCACAGCTGAGTATAATCGAGTCTTTAGTTGCCTCCTTTTGACCCAGGAAGTCACGGATTTTCTTTGTATTTCATGATGTTGAGCTGAAATACTAACAATTTTCACCTTGGAAGTCTGACATTTCACATATTTTAACATGTTTTTACTTTTATCATGCTAATTGCATTGTATTTAGATTTTTGTTGCTGTAATCTTTATATTCTATCATTTTCTGAATGATATCTCAATTTTTATTTTGTATCTTAACAGTTTTTCCACCTTTTCTGGGTTGCACTGTTTTGCACTGTATGTCATATGTTGTATGACAACTGAGAGACAAGTGTACTGTATGCCTGAGCAGAGTCAGCCAGAGGTATCACTGGGTCCTAAGCAGAATTTGATTTTGGACATTTTGGTTATTTAAGGTTTTGTCCTCCACAGTTCATTTCACATGAATTATTTAGTGTTATATTCAGTTGTTATTATGTGCTGACTTTTTTCTCACTCCTCTTGCTCTTGTTCTTCTTTCTTTTTTCATTCCCAGAAGGTTAACGCCTCGTTTTTGTTGAGTGCTGTTCATTGTTGTCATTAGGCTTGTTTAAACAGAATCAAACTATTTGCCACTTATCACTCGGCTATACTCAGTTATAGCTGGCGATGGCGGAGTAGTCATTCCTGTTATACTTCTTTGAAGTTCAGGCACATGTGTAGTGCATTGTAATGTAAAATCTCTGCTGACAAGTGCACGTGCTGTGACTACGCTCACCTCGTCTGTCATTGCAAACTTTGTACATTGACTCTGCTGTAGTTTGAAGTTTGTCAGCACATGAGCAACCCCTGCAATAAGGGCACCAGGTTAGCAGCTAACCTGGTGCCCTTATTCTTATAATGATATTTCTCCTGCTTCCCTATGAATAATGAATCTCTCTGTTTGATTTGGATCTGTCACTAGGGTGAAACAATATTCCTAGCAAAACGTTATCAGTTTTATTTTTGGCCTTACATCGGTGTTGTGGTATAGCAACTAGTGGACTACATTTCTAACCTAATATTTCCTGTAGTTACACACTATTGGCTGTGGGCAAAGGGTAAAAAAGAAAGGCACTTTGGATTTATGTAGAAAATGTGCGCACATTTTTAAAAATAGTTTTATTAAAGCCATTTAGACACATTAAAAATCAAAACAACGCCACATATTTAAACACAGAATGTCAAACCTCTTGTTCTTCCATTCGTGGAATCACTTTTCCATTGCTATTAATAGGTTCATTATTTTCTTGGCATGAATGAACTTCCATAGTGGATCTGTTGGCAGTGGGTGGCTATGGGGGAGTTTCTTTACACCTCAGCAAAAACCGTAACAGACAAGGTTGTCAGACAAGAATACACACCCAGTCTAACTGCATGTGAAGCTCACTGTTGTACTGTAACTGAAAAGTAGAACACACAAACAACAAAGGGAGAAACTAAGTGAGGGGGGTGAAAAGTCACGACACGGCCTGCTGTAGCCGGTGTGGATGTTAAACGTTAGTGTCACATTGTAAATCCTTCAGATCGGCGTTTTTTTCATATGATGCAACTTGGCAGTGTATGCCTCTTATTATGTGCAGCTTCCTACTTCAAAACCACAGTTTGCCATGAGTAACAAACCCGGAAATAGTGGGACGTGACATGGGGGGTGGACCTCTTCTGAGACAGAGAGAGAGGCAGAGAGACAGGCAGAGTACTAGACTCGGCACCCCCGGGGAGTCCTGATTCACGCTGCCATCGGATTTTATTTGAAATCCTCTGGGATCCATAAGGACACTCTGGCCCTCTGCTGGAACTCCTCCCGTGGCTTTGCGCATCTTCTGCGCCGGACTGTGCCTTTTTAAAAAAATCTGCCGCATAAGATGGTAATGACGCGACTAACATCCCCTCAGTTCATTCAGTGCTGACAAGTTCTCTTCCGACGCGAATGTGCAACAGTTCGGGCGAAAAAGAAAGAAACCCGGAGAGGAAAACAAGTTCTACACGAGAGCGAAAACACCCAGCAGCGAGAACAATGATCCGGGCTGCCGATGTGGAGCGTTAAAACGAGTGGGGGGAAAAGAGTTAGTTTTTGTCTTTGCCAGGCTGCCGGGCACCTCCAGCTGAAAGCCAGGAGTCACATAAATACACGAAGTGTCACGAGGGTTGGTGTCAACGCAAAGGATGACGGTGAAGCTGGACTTTGAGGAGGGTTTGAAGGACTCCCCGCGCTTCAGGTAAGAGTTTCACCTGTACCTTTGTTAGTCATGCTGATGTCACCAGTGAACAGCTGGCTTTGCTCCAGCTCCAGCAGGAGATTATGGATTAAAGGCTGATTCATGTTTCCCTAATAAAACATTTATGCATTTGCCGGTGTTGCTGTTCACTCTTCTGTCAGAGAGTTTGAGCT